GGCTAGGATCAAAAGGGAAAAAAAAAAAGTGTTGGCAGGGGGAGGAGGGAGGGGAGGAGGAATTAAGAAGATAGCCATAGAGCTCTGTGGCAGAGGGAGGGAGCCAGCCAGCCAGCAAGAAGAGTCAGTGTGAAGGCTCCAGGGTCTGCCAAAACAATCTTGTGAAAAGAGAATACCCCATATTGCAGATGAGTAAATAGTGTCTCAAGAGTGATGTGATTTAGGGAATGGAGCTAGGCAATAAAAAAAGCCAGACTAGAGCAGCCCCGGTGGCTCAGCGGTTTAGCACCGCCTTCAGCCCAGGGCCTGATCCCGGAGACTTGGGATAGAGCCCCCACATCATGCTCCCTGAATAGGAGCCTGCTTCTCCCTCTGTCTCTGCCTCTCTCTCTCTCTGTGTGTCTCTCTCATGAATAAATAAATAAAATCTTTTAAAAAAAAAAGCGCCAGATTAGAAAGATACTAGATTTCTTAACTCTCAGTCTAGCACCTTTCTGTTGTTTTGTGCCTTTGTTCATCAGGTGAGAGGCAAGTGTGCTGTTTCCTATAAAGCCCTGAGTAAGGGGTCACATAGTTGCAGTTGTTGCTGCTGTTATTACTAATCAGGTGCACTGACAGTTCTTGAAAGGTAGTTGAAGCTCAAAGGATAATTTCATTTTCCCTTCCCGTAGTTTATTTTTTTCCTTCCTTTATCTGTGCTTCTTTCCTTGGCACAATATCAAATTGTCAGTTAAAGGAATCCTATTTCTTTGGATATTTGATAAAGGTGTGAAACATAGGAATAAGGTATGAAATAGAAAGCACGTATAACTTAGTATGCAAAGGAGCTGTGAGAGAATGGTGAGAACGTGGAGCCCAGGGACTTGGCAGGTAGAGGACTACCTTTCTCTAGAGGCAGGAGGCACAGAAGGAAGGGAAGTGCAGGGAGGGGGGCCTTGGAAACACAGTAGGACCAGAGCTCCTCGCACCCCCACCCACCCCCACCCGGAAGTTTTAAGCTACTAGAAGAAAATGAGGACTCTGGCCTTGAAAAAATAATGAGCTTCAAGTGAAAAAGTAAAAAAACAAACAAACAAACAAACAAAAAACTAAGAAACCACAGAGGAGGAAATCTGAAGAAAGGCAAGAATAACGTAGAGGGGGCTGGAGAAGAGAGAAGATGTAAAGAGACTTTCAACAAGTGAGACTGTTACACAATAAACAATATAAAAGAAAAAGGCGAGTAAGAATCCGATTTCAGACACCGTAGACCCGAAAGCCGGTGGAATTACTAACAGCCAAAGGGAAGACAGAGGACAGTCTGAAAGGTGAGTAGCTGACTTTTGGTAACACCAGGTTTTAGGTGGCAGTGAGGTTCTCACGAGTGGGAAGGGTCCAGCAGAGAAGAGGTAAATTTGGAAGATGACTATCACCTGGGGCAACTCGGCCCCACAGGTAGCTACGGAGCATTTGAAATTGTGGCTCACCTGAACTGCACGTGCTGTCAGTATAAAACACACCAGATTTTAAAGACTTCATATGAGGAAAAAAAAAGTATATCTAATTTTGTTACATTGATTTCATGTTGAAATAATATCTGCATGAATTGGGTTAAATAAAGTCTATTATTAAAATTAATTTCACCTGTCTCTTACTATGATTACAAGAAAATTTTAAATTACAGACGCAATTTGTGTATTTCTACCGGACAGTGCTGATATAGAGCGGTAAACAATATAAAAGAAAACATTTCAGGATCACATAAGAGGATGAGAACCAGGAGAGAGTTACAGATATTATTCTGACACATTTCTACTAGAAACAGCCAGATATGGGAGCAAAACACACGTCATTATAAAAGATAATATTCACTGAATGCTCAAAGAGCTATACTAGCCACATCTGGTTCATTATCTTCTTCGTTCCTTCCAACGTTATGAAATGATACCATTGTCTTCTTTTATAGAAAAAAATGTTCTAAAGAAGTTAACCTGCCCAAGGTCACACAGTTAAATCTTGGTGTTGGAGTTCAAATCTGTGACTCCCTCCAGATCTCAAAGTCTAAACTGCCACATCATCAATTCCAGAACAATTCACACTCTGCGACTCTTAAATCGTTAAATGGTTATATTTAAACTAACAATTTACTAGAATGGTCCACTGTCAGAGTCAGGGAAGTACCAGTGATGTCCTAATTTGATTAAGATACAAATGTGTAAATTTGTAACTTCAAAATTCTGCTGAGCTACTCAGGTTGGCATATTTTCACTGTGTTGAGTTTAGAGTTTACTGGTGCAAGGTCTTGCCTTTAATCCACTCTGAAAAAATCCAAAACTTTCAAGTTAGACGGTAGGCTGTTGAAGATGGTCCTGGGCACAACCCTCCACAGAAGGGCCCTGAGTTCTGAATATAACAAACCTGATATGGAGCCACTTAAATTTTAAACACCCTCTTTCAGACTATGAGAGCACCTGAACCTCCCAAACTGATTCAAATATTTTGAAGGGTTCAATTAAACTTCAATTAAAAAAAAAATGGTTTCAAGGGAGCTGGATGAAATTGCAACCTTTTGTTGAAAGAACAAGAATTAAGTATCCCCAGCTGGATACCTTAAAAGGGGATTTATACTCCTTGAAAAAGCCTATGCTTTGAGGAGTAGAAGAAAAAATGACTTGATATTTTGACTGGAATCATAACATAAAAATCCCCTATAAATACAAATTGGGATCAAAAGAATGAGGGGTCTTTCACTTAGGTTTGGTGGCTGGATTTAATTTCAAAGACAAATTTATCATTCTTTCCATCTTTCATCTTTACTACCTATCTGGCCAAGGAAGCAATCACAGAACTGCTAAACTCATTTTCAAGACAATTTTACTACGCAGTCTGGCTCAGATTATAAAAACACATGTCCCCAGGCTGAAAACAAAGGATTGCTATACATTTACATCACAGAGATGGGAAAACAAAAGGGAACTTGAGGAAAAAAATAATAATATGCTTTGGAATAAGACTAATTAGCAGACATCGTGAGCAACTTTTCATGTTGGATTTGGAGCCAAAGCACTGTCCTTCTGAAACTGACCCACTAGCTTATTTTTGAATTTAAGCCCCAGAAGCCTGCCCACTGCCGGCATCATTTTTTTTTAAGTAACTTGTATATGGACAAATGCATAAAAATATCTCCTCTGAAAACCCACAGTTTCTGAAAAACACTTTTCTATAAAGGTAGTATCACGAGTACAGGGTAGCGCTAATAAGCGCTAGCCCCTTATTTTGGCTCTTGTAGATTAATTCCCATGACTCTTCCATCCAATTAAGGTGATATCCTTGGACTCGTTTCCTTACTCATTACAATTCGTAATATTTTGTAACAAAGGTTCAGGCCTCCAAGGAGAGAGCCAGTTAGCCCTAAAAATGCGTTGTCCCTCCATGTGCAAAGGTGTCAAGAGCATGAAGGGACAGACTCCAGCATTGAGAGACGCCCAGCTACACTTTTGTCACTAAGGGTCACCACACGGAGTCCCTCCTTCCCAAGAGCATTCCTCCTCTCAAACTTGGCTGGAGACTCTCATCCCTGTAACTGCCAACTGGATAGAGAATCCTTGCAGTTGCACAGCCGCTTCCCCTTTGTACATCAGCATTCTGTATGCTGGTGTTCGGGGTGAATCTTCTCATTTACGGAGCACATACTATGTGCCAGGCGCTGTCGTAGGTACTAGAAACAGAGCAGCTCACCAAGTGAAAAGAATCTCTATGCTGGCATTTACATTCTGGCGGGGGGCGGGGGGCACTCGTTCAGTAAACAAGAATTTAAACAAAAGAGTATGTCAAGGGATCCCTGAGTGGCTCAGCGGTTTAGCGCCTGCCTTCGGCTCAGGGGGTGATCCTGGAGACCCGGGATCGGGATCAGTCCCGCATCACCACATCAGGCTCCCTGCATGGGATGGGGCCTGCGTGTGTGTGTGTGTGTGTGTGTGTGTGTGTGTGTGTGTGTGTGTGTGAGAGAGAGAGAGAGAGAGAGAGATGAATAAATAAATAAAATCATGGGCAGCCCAGGTGGCTCAGCCGTATAGCATCACCTTTAGCCCAGGGCCTGGTCCTGGAGTCCCAGGATCGAGTCCCACGTCGGGCTCCCTGCATGGAGCCTGCTTCTCCCCATGCCTGTGTCTCTGCCCGCCCCCCTCTCTCTGTGCCTCTCATGAATAAATACAATCTTTAAAAAAAATAAAAATAAAATCCTAAAAAAAAAAGCATGTCAAATAATAAAAGCCAAAAATGGAAAAAAAAAAAAAAAAAGGAGCAAGGAGGGTGAATGAAGCAAGTCGGAACCGGGGTGGGTGGAGTAGAAAAAAAAAAAAAAAGACTGAAATTCGAGATGGAGCCGGCTGCAAGTACCACCGGGTGGACGGCGGTGCCCGGGAGGGCGGAGCGCAGCGGGGCTGCGGGCGGCAGGGCAGCGGGGAGGGCACGGAGATCAGCGTCCTCCGGCGAGGCCCGCGGTGGCGGGGAGCCACGCGGGGACCCCGTCACCTTCCCTTCCCGGGGGTCCCGGGGTCCCGGCGGGCGGGGGGCGGGGGGCGGGGCGCGGCGAGCACAGGGTCCGGGCCCGGGCAGCCGGCGAGCGGCCGTCGGGAAGAGGACCGACCCCCCCGACCCCCCCCGGCACCCGCGGAGCCCCCCCGACGGCCCCGGGCAGACCCAGCCGGGCCGGGACACGCCCCCGGGGCCGCAGGCTCGGGGCAGCGGGCGCGGGGGCACCGGGCCAGCCGTTAGCGGACGAAGCCCCCGATGCCCCGGGGCAGGCGGGGCAGGCCGGGCGGGGGCGGGGGCGGGGGCGGGGGCGTCGGGCATCCCGGGCGCCCCGCGGGCCGCGAGCCGGCAGCGGGGGCCGGACCCAGCCCCGAGACCGCGGCCGCCCCGGGCCCGCCGAACCCGCGGCTCCCGCGCCCCCGCCCGGCCCCTTCCCGCCCCGCGCGTCGGTGGAGGAGAGGAAGGGGGGCGGCGGGGCGGGCACTCACCATGATCGCGGCGCCGGCGGCCCGGATGCGCTGTCCAGGGTAGCGGCCGTCCGAGTGCCCCGGCTCCCGCCGCGCCCGCGCCTCTTACCCACGCCCACGCCCACGCCCGGCGCGCGCACGCCCGCCCGCCGCCCGCCGCCCGCCGCCCCCGCCCCCTCGGGCCCGCGCGCCTCCCGCGCGGCGCTCCCACCGCCAGGGCCGTTTCGGGCGCCCGCGCTCCCCCCCTCCCCTCCCTCCCTCCCTCCCCGGCGGCCGGCAGGTCGCGGTGCGAGGGGCGGCGGGGGAGGGGCGGGGCCGGCGGGAGGGGCGGGGCCGGCGGGAGGGGCGAGGGCGGGGCGCCCCCTGCCGGCCTCGCGAGGATTTGCAGGCCCAGCCGGCGTCTGGCGCGCGCGCCTCGGCCCAGCGATCGCAGAGCCCCCGCGCGGCCCGCCGGCCTCGGTGCGCTCTGCCCCGGGGACCCGGCGGCGGCCAGGGGAGGGTGGAGGGTCGGGGGCCCTGGAGGGTCGGGGCCGTGGAGGGGTCGGGGCCATGGGGGATCGGGGCCGAGGAGGGTCGTGGAGGGTCGTGGAGGGTCCGGGCGCCGCTCCTCCTCGTGGTGGCTCCGCGGCCTTTAAGCGGGAAGGGCTAGTGCTGGAGCGGGTTTGGGGAACGTGCGCGTCTTCGGTCCCGGGGCCAGTCGGGTTCTGACGGCATAAGGCGGGAGCGGGTCAGGGTGAGGGCGTCCGACTCCCGTCTCACCGGACGCTGCCTGCGGAAGGTCTCACTCCAGGGACTCCTTAGCTAATGCCCCCAATGGTTACATTGGCACTTAATCGTGAACAGAAAGTATGGGATCTCAGATCCTTTTTTTTTTTTAATTTTATTTATTCATGAGAGACCTAGAGAGAGAGAGAGGCAGAGACACAGGCAGAGGGAGAAGCAGGCTCCATGCAGGGAGCCGGATGCAGGACCCGATCCCGGGTCTCCAGGATCACGCACAACCACTGAGCACCCCCAGGTGTCCCTCTGCTTGCCTTTTTTGTGTAGCTGATGCGATCAACTGAAATGCAAGCAAATGTTTATTGAGAGTCAGGAACACCGCATCTGGATGTACACAGAGATACCTGCAACGTATGCTTTAGCAACCCGAACTGTAAATATTAAGGATGTATTTGCAGTTCTGTGAAGTAGTAGAGTGAATAACCATAGATGTCAGGGCTAACACTTAATTGTCACATAATCACCTAGTATTTAGAGTTTCCAGTAGCTGGAGTGTTAAAAATCAGTTACATATTTGCTTATAAAGAGCGGATAGCAAAAAAAAAAAAAAAAAAAAAAAAAAAAAAGGAGCAGATAGCTCTAGACCATGAACAGGTAGGCAGGTATATGTTAAGCAAGTCTCTTAAAATCTCACCATCCGTGAGTGGGCTCGAGAGTCAGCCCTGCCACATACTGGCTATGTGATACTGGCTCAGTTATCTAATTCTCTGTGCTTCAGTTTCTTGATCTATAAAATGGTGATAAGCATGACACATTATCTATGGCTGTTAGGATTAAATTAATATGAATAAAGCACTAGAGAAATGCCTGGTGCAAAAGTACTAATTATTGATCTTGTTATTGATCTAATGCCCTTGGAAACCAGAAAGTGATATTGTATTAAATGCTGACATATTTTTGTAAAAAGTGTCCATAAGGTCGAAACCAAGTATACGATTTGATGTCAGTTCTATTCATTCATTCACATTGTTCATTCAACAAAATCCCATTTACAGTTGTACCAAAAGGAATAAAATACATAGGAATGAACTTAATGAAGGTGAAAGACCTGTATCCTGAAATAGTTGTTTTACTTCACCGCTGTATTGATGAACAAGCTTCCTAGAGAGAATAGAGATGAAGGAGCTAAATGAGGTTCAGATGCTGGAAGCCTCTTACTTGACCCAGATTTCAACCACGTGCATCGTTGCAACCTCAGCAACTTCTTTGACATCTGGGAAACAGATGGAAGGGATCCTAAGGTTAATTCAGAAGTTATAGAAGACAGCCTCAGCTTATAAGCTCATCATTCTTTTAGCTCAAATGTGGTCTTTGCAGGTAACTCCTGGGTATCTAACATAAACCATGCTGAATGACTTAGAATGGTAGCTCCTTCCCGACTAGCTGCATTGCACAGATGAGGTACCTGAGGCCCAAAGAAGGGAAATAGTGTACCCAGGGTCACATGGTCAGGCGGTTGGAAAGTGGGGAAGCCAGGATGCAATCTGAAGCCTGTTGGATTCTTTCTAGGACACCATGCTGTTTTGAATATTCCAATCTTTAAGAATCCTTATAAACTGGGCAGAGAAACTCACTTTCTGTGGTTTGAAAGAGCAGATGAGGGCAGCCCTGGTGGCTCAGTGGTTTAGCGCCACCTTCAGCCCAAGGCCTGATCCTGGAGACCTGGGATTGAGTCCCATGTCGGGCTCCCTACAGGGAGCCTTCTCCCTCTGCCTGTGTCTCTCATGAATAAATAAATTAAATTAAAAAAAAAAAAGCAGACGAAGTATGAACTTCATGCAATTTGAATTTTTTGTAATCATGGAAAATTCTAGACATCTACCAAAGTAGACAGATGAATGAACTCTAAAGCATCCATCACCCGTCTTTAAAAAGTATCTACCCATGACCAATCTTGTTTCATCTATACCACTACCTACTTCTCTCTTCTCCATTCTATTATATTGTGTTTTTTTCCATTATTTTGAAGCAAATCACAGTTATAATAGTTTGTAAATTTGTCAGCATATATCACTAGAGAAGAAATCTTTTTAAAAACACACATAAAGGGCACCTGGGTGGCTCAGTCGGTTTAGTGTCTGACTCTTGATCTCAGCTCAGGTCTTGATCTCAGGATCAAGAGTTGGGCATGGAGCCTACCTAAACAAACAAACAAAAAAAAAAAACCCCACAAAATCACAAAGCCATTGTAATATCTTAAACATTAACAAGAAGTTATTAACAGCATTAATTATGGACATTGAGTATACAAATTTCCAAAAGTTATCTTTTTTTTTATGATAGGCACACAGTGAGAGAGAGAGAGGCAGAGACATAGGCAGAGGGAGAAGCAGGTTCCATGCACCAGAAGCCCGACGTGGGATTCGATCCTGGGTCTCCAGGATCACGCCCTGGGCCAAAGGCAGGCGCTAAACCGCTGCGCCACCCAGGGATCCCGGTTGTCTTTTTTTAACATTGCAATTGGTTGCTATATCTTTTATGTCTCTTTAATCTCTACCCTACATCTCTTTTCATTTTCCTTCTTTTTTTTTTTTACAGCATGTATCCCTTTTTAAAAGATTTTATTCATGAGAGACACACAAAGCAAGGCAGAGACATAGGAGAGGGAGAAGTAGGCTTCCTGCGAGGAGCCTGATGTGGGGCTCGATCCAAGGACTCCAGGAACATGACCTGAGCTGAAGGCAGACGCTCAACCACCCAGGTGGCCACCCAGGTGTCCCATCTCTTTTCATTTTCTTGTAATTTGTATTGTAGCATTTCCCACAGTCTGGATTCTGTTGACCACACCTCTAGGGTATAGGTTAGCATGTGCTTCTAATCTCTGAGTTTTTGTAAACTGATAACTATAACGAGTTCCAGAGGCTTGATTGGATTGAAATTGTTGACAAGAAAATTCAGAGGTGGCTGTGTGTATTTCCATCAGGATGCACATGACATCCGATTGTCACTCTCCCTGTGATGCTTAAGTGTTGGGTGATGCTCAATGCCTACATCCAGTGATTCATTAGGAGTTGCAAAATTGTGACATCCTAGCTATGTCATTCCTTCATTTCTTAGCTAGAATGCTTCCAAAAATTTGCCCCTACATGTGTTCTTTGGTTACCTATGGTGCTATTTATATGGGAAAAACAAAATAAATTTTTTAAATGAAGAGCTGGTTCACTACCAATGTAAAAATTCAAAATTTAAACATGAATAAATAGCATTTGGAAATACTTAGGCTAGCTGCCAGTGTCAACAAGGCCACCACAAAACTGTTGTTACCCAATTTCCTTTTTTAAATGTACCATGTTCTATATTAACTAGAATGACTTTCAAAGATTTCTTTATTTATCTAGGCTCTGAAAAGGAAAAAAATTAACAGAAGACTCTACTGTGATTGGTCCTTTCCAAGGGAAGAGGTCAGAACTCAGGAGAATGAGTCATGAAGAATTTTTTGCATATTATTTGGTTTTATCACTAAATTAGTTGAATAGAAAAGTACATATGACAAAAGCTGTATTTTAGGAGGAGAGGGACAGAGGGAGACTGAAAATCCTAAGCAGACTCCACACCCAGCGTGGAGTTCGATGTGGGGCTCAATCTCAGAAACCTGAGATCATGACGTGAGCCAGAATGAAGGGTCTGATGCTTAAACAACTGAGCCACCCAGACACCCCTTGACAGTAATCTTGATTATAATTGGTCAGCATTGTAACATTAAAGGTAATTTGTGATTAGTTCTACAAATACTTCAGCTTTTAACAGAATTTGCCTTAAAATGATCATTTCAACTGTCTTTTTAGCTTCTGTCACATGGCAAGCATTCAATTACTATTTAATACAGACCTACCTCCCCTTTTTTATTACTGCTTGCCAGGGGGGTTTCTGTGACATCCTAATGGGAATCTCATTAGCGCCAAAGACCTTTGAAAAATATGTTATTATTATTAGCTAATGGAAATGCAGTTCCTGAGCAAATGATATAATTTACGTAAGCAATATCATGAAAAAAAAATGTAGTCTTTGTCAAGGCCTGCCCCATACCAGCAACTGAAATGTTTACCAAAACAATGGGAGACATATTTCCAGTTATCATGTATTAAGCATGACAGCTGCATTAGGAGTTGGGGTTTCATAGGTTCTGGCGTTATCTCCCCATTTCTGATGGGGGACCTAAACATTGTACAAGCAGCGAAGAAACCCACCTAAACTAATGCCCATGGGGCCTGTTGAGCTCTAATAATAGCTGCGATTCAATGAACTAGGAATTTACATCCAGGAAACTTACATATGTTAAAG